AAAGAAGACACTGATATTGTGATCAATTGTTCAGGCCTTTATTCACATGAATTAGGAGGTGTTAAAGACAAAAACCTTTATCCAGTAAGAGGCCAATCAGTGACAGTGAAGTTGTCTCAATCATGTTTGAAATGGGCATGTTTTAGACGAGGTTACAATGGAGAACCAAGTTTGTGTGAACCTTTTAATTACAGATCATTTTTTTTTATTCCTAAATATTAAGCAATCTTTTTTTTTTCTAATAATGGAATAGAAACAGTCACCTACATAATACCGCGCGAAAATGGCAATGTGATTCTTGGCGGAACTCTTGTAAGAATTTGCTATATATATTTTTTTTAAATGTGATTACATAACAACTATTAAGCGAGATGCTATCAATCAAAATGTGCCGTTGTGAGACTAATTATATTTCAAAATTTTTTTTTTATTATTTTATTACTGTTTTCGAAATGGTTGAAATCGGAGGCAAAAAAATTTTTTCGCGTATACTCGTATACTGGACTACTTAGGTACGCATATACGTACATACATTGATCAAAGTGCAATTTTCAATCATACAATTCCCAACTGCGAATATACAATTGTCAATTGCATATACATCATTGTCAATTCAAATCATATATTACGTACGTACCTAGGTAATCCAGTAGACGAATATACAAAGTATACAGGTATACGCGAAACTTTTTTTTTATCTCTGATTTCAACCATTTCGAAAACAGTAATAAAATTAAATTATAATCTGTTTTATTTGCATTTTCTCATTAATATACTGATGGACTTTCTCAAACAAATTATCCCTTCCGCCGTCTTATTAGCGTAGTTTCAAGTTTGCTATAATATAGTTCGATCACAGATCAACTATGATAATTCCTTTTTAATTTATCAAGATAATTGCTAAATTAAGCATATTAATGAATTGATAGCGATGGAATTATATTCTTACTACAGCACATTTTAATTGACAATGCCTCAAATTACATTTCGATATTTTATTTACATTTATTTTCGATTATTATTACTATAGGAAGAAAATAATCCGTAAGATAATCATTGTGCAACGTTTCTTTATGCAACTTTAATTTTATCGTCATACAATTCTAATTATATTGTCTTTTAAATTTGATCAAACATCAGCTCTACAGATATTGATCATAATTTAGCTGGAAAAATTATTCAACGATGTCTTGCCACTCGTCCAGATCTATTGCCAAAAGACCAAACTGAACTAACAATTATAGGGCATCGAGCTGGTCTGCGACCTTGCCGTAAGGGTGGCGTAAGAATCGAGGCTGAATGGAAAGGTATATTATATAGTTTTCTAAGACTAACCAGAATCTTAGCATGTTATTCTTGTATTTTTCTAATTATTTTCATGTTTTCT